TGATGGGAGTGCTGCTTGTGGAAAACGTCGGTCAGCTACAAGAATGCTGCAAGAGCTCGAAAGAAAATGTGCAGAAGTCGGAAGGATAATCAATCGGTCATAGACGAGATGCTACGATTGGAACCCTGCCAAAAGCTCTTGCAATATTAAACAGTGAAAACATCAAAGAAGTCGATAAATACATTTACCTGGCAAAAGAGATCAAACTGCGGCATGATCAGGCTCGAGAGATTCAGCGGGAAAAACGAGCTGCTTGACGCGAGTTTCATTCCATCCATTTCCAGGAAAGAAACCCGCTCCTACTTCTTCAACTCTACCGTCCTCCTGGCAATGTTGTGTGGCTATGAGGCGTGGTCTTTAATCAAAACCGACGAGCGCTAGATACCTTCGTTGAGAGAGCATACTGTAAAATTCAGGTCGCAAACACATCCCCAACATAATGTTCAAACAATAGACGAAATTGAAGGACGTCATGGTCGAAAGCGGAAGGGAGAAACTCCGGGGGGGGTCGCGCACATAGCTTGGCTCATTGATGGGAGATGACAGGCGATGACTATCAACTGGTACTCCAGCGGGGCACTTGGCCGTTAGGTCGTCCACCATATGGAACCGATGAAGTCGAGGAAGCTACGTTTATTAGGAGACGGTCATTTAAGGACCGTCATTGCCTGACTGTTCTCCAGTGGTATAAAAGACCTTCTTGAAGCTGAGGACATGAGACGTCAAATCTTTCTTCGATCTTGCTGTTAAGGAAGGAATATTTCAAGATATTCGATCAGAAATCTTGCTCATGAAATTGTCTTCGTATGCAATAATAGGAGCGCGTTTAATCGCCTAAAGGCTTTCATACGTAACGCAGTTGCGAAACCCGGCCTCTTTCCCAATGCTCGGAAATGAGAAGCCATGAAGAGCCCACCCGGCATAGCAAATCTTCATGTACAGTGGGGAGGATGAGTGAATCAATGTTATTACCTCTGTTCTATCGTCTCCTCTAACGGAATTGGAGCATTCACCTTGCTTGTCGTATTTTCGGTAATTTCCTCAATATTTGGCCTGAGAAAGTGATACTCCTATTCACAAAAATTTCCCTGCATTTTGCCTCGGTCAAGTCAACGTTGTACTAAGGCATTTCAGACAGTTTTTCTAGCGAAAATTCATAAAAGATGGTTGAAGCGCGTGGAGCAACGTTTATTCGATGGATAATGAGAGTTGAATGACAGGGCCAGGCAATGAATAGTTCTGTTCTTGCTTGGGTACAGGTGTCATCTGTAGAAATTAAGATTAAAAAAGGAGGACAAATTAGACGAACATCAGAGCTTCACTCCAAGACGTGAACTTGTCCTATTGGAAATAAAACACGTAAGATGTACTGGCCAAGGAGCCAGTACGCGACATAAATGAAAACGATGGAAACACGCCTTTGTTCAAAGACTAAACTGTTCTTTCTATGTTACAGTAGCCGGGCGGCTCACAACTAAGTGTTAAAAAGTAGACATCACAAACCATAGACGTCACACCAATTAAAACGGCTCAATATGGTGACCAGAACAAGCACAATCGAGCGATATTAAAATAACATTGTGTTTATCCCGCGTTTATCTGATTCGCAGGATTTCTTCCAAGGTACTTTAAAATAAATGTGAAATGGGCCAGTCACTACGAGTCGTATAAATACAAAGTTTCTCCGGAAATTTGTTTATCGGCTTGATATGCAACCTGTCGATGCTGGAAGATCTGGTTGCCGCACCACCAACAGCGCAAACGTTCTGAAGTGATGGATGAATCGTTATAGCGTAAGATATGGCGACGGAAACCGATGTCGAAATCATTCATTCAATTAATTTAATAATCATCGTTCGGTCTCTATCCATAGCTGAATAATGGCCTGTCCGTAGTATTCTCAATGAACCCTCTCTTCTTGGGTTCACTTCCACATAATGCCGAAAAAATCCATAATTTCACATCGCATTTGCTGAGGTGGTTTTCTTTTTGATTCCTTACGTTCAGTCTAATCACCTGATTATTGATATGAAAACAAAACCATTGTTCTACTCAATATTTCTTCAATCATTAGTGTACAATCTGTTCGCCTGACAGGATGATCCTGTGTCTGCCACGAACTTGAGACAACGCCAACTTGATGATAATTGCCCCTGTCGAGATGATGCACAGAATAATGTTGAATCGTGTTCCTTAAATAAAACTGAACTGAACTAACATATTTCGAGTTTGAGTTAAATTCATAACAGTTTCTCAAACGTACATTTTTCTTTGAGGGGTATGAGGGACTGCCTGTACTATTTTTTGTCTTAACTCGCCAATCAGCCGCTTTCGAGACTAATGACACGACTCATGGTGGGTCGTCACCGCGTTTTGCTCTGCCGTACCATTTCGCTTGCTCTACATGACGTGGAGGCGAGATTGCGATTATGTACAGTACGGCATAGCGTTCCCCATTGCCCACCATTAAAGGACAATGAAGTCGCCAACGGTTGTGGACCGCAGATGAGCACGGTCGTCTATGACATGGTAACATGAAGCGTAAAAATTGCTCGTTCGACAGTTATCCGTTGGCAACAGATGTTCGCCGTGCACCGGACACCTAATGGCCGTCGTGGCTGACCGGTCGGTCGTCCCTCGGCGGGAAGCGGTGACCGACGGAGCTCGGTGAAGGCACGAGCCGCCCACGACGTTAATCTGGGCTCTTAACTCGTTACGAGGTGCTCGACAAAGCAAACATTTAGCGAAACGGGCTAATTACGGAATGCGTAAGGCGTTTGCAATTACACCGGTCGTGAATGGGCTCCTTTCTTGAAAGTTGGTTCCGCGTGGTGAGCAGCAGCTGTGCGACGGGGTGCATTGTGGCACGTTTTGTCGCTCAAAGAGCTGCGAGACAATTGCCTCTCGTGGCAGACAATTCCACAGGTCACGCCAAGCAGGGCATCGTTTGATCGCTGTTGCCCGACCGACCGTTTCGGCTGCTGCCGCAAAGCCATGCCGTTTGGCAACGACCGTGGCCTTCTGCCGTTTCGTCCGGCAAGTTCGACACACGCCAGCACCAGAGCACCAGACTCCCAATCCGCCGGTCAGTCCGAGTGTTTACACGGACACCGCCGCAGGTGCTTTTGCATTCGTTGAGAACAGGAGGCTCGGAGGCTGCGCAAATTAACTGATTAATTAGCCAATGACGCAATGTCAAACGAAGGCAGCCCATCGGGCTTCTTTTTTGGCAGCTCATCGGGGTGACCAGGTAAGAAACAAGTCGATCGTTGGCCGATCGTCAAAATCCTCCGGATCCGCCCTAATCGTTCTAATCGTTCGTCTGCTAAGACACAACATCGGTCATTACCGAATTAGTAATTAATACGCAAAGCTGTAATCAGAAACGTAATTGACAACGCGCGCTAATCCTTTTGAAAAGGCACTACTTTACGCAGGAGACTGTCATCACGGGATCAGATAATGAAACATGAATGATGCTGAACAAAAGACGGAAGTGTAACTCGACGACAGATTTGGGGCGCGCGTCGGCTTCGTGACCCCCTGGATCGGCGGGTTACAATATTGTGCTTGAGGTGCAAATCCATTTTGACCCATTGCCCTTGTTCCCCATGGGAAGAAGTCACAGCGTTTTAAGGTATACTTTCATAAACTAATTCAGGCTATTCAGGAAGCGTCAGAGTGCCAGTTCGTATGTTAGTGTGAAGCACGTTTAGGTGCAGCTTGACAGTATGCCCCCTCCACCGACTGTGTCTCTGAAGTAAGTTGAATGAGTTGAGCAATTCCTCCGAATTGTCTGTACAAGGCATACAATGTTCCTTAGCCAATAGTTGAAGTTATTAGTGACAAATTTTAGTACTAGCGATAAAATAACGAAAGACTGATCCAGAACCATATTCCAAACAATTTTAAGGGAAAGGGTAGAGGAGCCAAGATAGTCGAAGAAGGAAAATATAGTTGTTGATCTATTCTCAATCATCAATGAGGCTGAAAGACGTATGACGCGGTAGAACAATCGTCTCTTCGCTTAACTGCAATTCATTAATATGAAGACCATGTCTACATTTCAGAAAAAATGCTGTTCAACAGGTGATCTGCAGAAGGACAGTAATATTCTTGCTAAAGAGTCTTGTCCTAATGATATTAGAGTCGAATTAGGTTTCTGACCGATATTTGTGGTATCAGTTAGTAATGGGCATAAATCTAAGGGCGAAGTAAATTATTTTATTAACTGCAATTTCCCTTGAGTAAGGAATTCACTCCAACGAGTCTTAGAGAAATCAGCCAGCCGACAAATGAATAGTTAGTCGCTGACCTGCAGCCGAAAGAGAAGAACACGATGTAGCCATACCAGGTCACATGACATTTGTTCGAGGCGTGCGCCCAAAGGCTGCCATTTACTTGCCTCACGAGCTTCGTTATCCGGCTTGTCTTCGTCATGAGGGAACGAAAATGAAAGTAGACGTAAATTGACGCTCCTCCAACATCCTCCATTTTCCTCTATCTGCCTCCACCGCTGACCAACTAATTTGAATATTGCACCATCCCAGTGAGTTCTTTGACGAGGTAGTTGGTAGTGGTTAGTTCAGGGGAATCCACTTTGTGTTTCTTAAAGTCTGTGGTTGTATCTCAGGCGAGCCGCATATCCAACGCATCTTCTCTTGACGTCGTAGAAGGCAGAAATCAGAATATTAAATCTGTTAATCCAATCGTTATCGACCTTATGCGATTCCGGAGGGGCACCTTACACATTCTGCGCTCCATCGCTCTCCGTGCGACCATCAGCTTATTCTCTTCATCTTTGGTAGCAGATCAATATTTAGCACCGTAGGCCATGGTGGGTAAGAGGGATGAATCGAAGAAAATTCTTTCTTCATCTACATGGGCGGCACCCAGTCAATAATTCATATTTTAATACAATTAAAGTTACCTCATAGCGATTTCCTTCATCAGCTGATTTCCCTGCCAAACGGGTTCATGCGGTTCACTTGACGGCCAGCATATGCGTAGCTGGTGAATTCTTTGAGTTCTTCGCCATTCGCGTACATAAAGCCCTATGAAGAAGGCTTGTTTCACATCCATTTATTCTTGAAGAGGTTAGCCACTGACCGATCATGAATGAGCTTCCTGCAACTGCCGCTGGAGCTCCATCATGTCTTGTGAGAATATTGTACAGTTATCAGCAAGTAATGAGTGCATTGGCTTCTCCCTATCAACATTGATGCCTTTGCGCCTATTTAGCCAATTGAAAAGTGACTCCAAGCTTTCTGAGAAGAGCAAAGGTGCGAAGGTATCACCTCGGCGCACTCATTAGTGGACAATGATGCCGCGTACTTCATTGAAAATGACCATGTCAGACGCACAACCGGTGTTCAGTTCTTCCCTCAAGTTGTGGCAGACAGGGTTTAAAACAGCCATAAATTCCACCTGGTCGAATGCCCAGTCGATGAAAGAGAAACCTTACACCCGTTGCACTTCTCCGTCATCTGCTGGGTGACACATATATGGTCGATGGTTAATGAAAGAATCGTTTTTGATGTCTTCCACGCTTCAGGGTCTTATCTTGCTTGATACATTTCGTAAGCGATTTGAATAGCATAGTTTCCATCTTTATGCTGTTCTGGTTTTTTATCGCATCAGCCTAGACATATGTCATTTTTAATATTTCTAATTTCCCTCTCAACTTCGTCCTAGGTGATGAGGAACTCCTTCACTTTGGAAATGGCTTCTGGGGCAACTTAAAGTAACTTCTGATTCACTTCCGAAGAGTACAGGCTATTGTAGAATTTTATACATATCGAGTTTATCCCATTGCGATTAGTAGTTCTAGCTCTTCCTTTGTTTTCCAGGGCACTGGGAACTCATTTTTTAGGCGAATATCTCGATCCATAACTTTCAGGCTTTTCTTTTTCTCCCTAAACTCTTTTAATTGGATTCTCCTGTAAAATTTGCTGTCTTCCCCCAACCTCTCCTATATCGCTTTGCACGATGTTCACGTCGTCTATTTTCTCTTCTGTCTTCAGTTGTTCAGCTGGACTCCTCCAGCCATTAGCTGAGTTTTGAAGGTCTGATGCGTTGGTTTCTGGCTAATTTGCCGTCTGACTTGATTTTCTAAAGGCATTCTTGAATGTATTAACAAAAATGGTCATTATCCGCATCTATGCCCCCGCATATGTTCATTTGAAGGTCAACTGATGGCAGCTTCTCTGAGAAAGGCAACTGTAATTCCCTACAAATTGGAGAGTTTTGGGCTCCTTTGATCCGCTGTCCTTCCGCGGCATCGATCGTTACTGTATAATGTAAAAACTGGTGGACTGACCCTGTCTACAGATTATGTTCTTGCCTGTGACCGACACGTCTGATATTATTCGTTTCTTGTCATTCAGTACATAGTGGACTCAGCCTTTGGTTCAAGGGGTTTTCCATCTGCGCTTCTCCATACCCA